GCCGGGGGGTGGGGCCGGGGCTCCCTCCAGCCCGGAGCCCGCGTCCGGCGAGGCCGAGAGGACCTACCTCTACGACTCGGGCGGTGACGGTCGCGGCGACGGCTCTTCCTCCAGCCCCCCTCCCCCTTTCCCGCAGTTGCCGTTCCCCAGCCCTCGCTAGCTACGCGGTGCGGGCTTCCTCGGGGCAGCCATTTTGACTTTTAGTATGGCGTCTGCGGGGGCTCCTCCGGAGGCGGCCTTCCCGGACTCCGGGACGTGGGGCCGAGCTCCTCTCTGGGAGTTTGGCGTGGGGCTGCAGGGCACTGAGTTTGCTCCTGTTTGCTCTTTGAGATGGAGAACCCGAGGAGATGGACTGGGATGGGCATGTTACCACCTTTTCCTGGACCCCCCCTTTCCTATTTGGCCTGTCTTGCCCCCCTGCTCCACGACTTGGTTTGCAGTCTCCCCTTGACAGTCACGCTTCTTTCTTGGGCTTCTATCAGGCTCTAGAGCTTGCGGCAGACCTGTGAAGTTTTCACTTCCCACCGTCAACTCTTGAGTACCTACCTGGGATGCTGCTTTACTCTCTTGCATTCCGTCTAGTTCCTTACGACTCACGCTTTGAACACTGAATTTTTCTTTCTAGAGTACTCTTCTTTAGATATCCCTCCTTCCACTCTTCTTTTTTAGTTGCTGCAAAGCCAAATTAGATTCTCTGCTGTATTTGTGAAACGACTGAGAAATAACATTAGTTTGAAGTTAAAGTGTTTTTTTTTTTCTCCTCATACTAACTTATGGAGTCAAGTTAAATGTACCTAATATTTGAGGACCTCAGGACATTTTCTAATTGAGTAGTTTTCTGTGTGCGTAGAGAGTAGTAGAACTCCTTTCTTTTCATGTGAACTTTTGATAGGCTGCGATAACTACCTAACTTTTGGAACATGTTTAATTAGTATGGGGCTCATGTCTTGGATTTCAAAATTATTTCATCTTTTTGAAAGGATTATTTAACTTTGGTTTATTTGTATTTATTTTAAAATTATTTTCTGGGGCAAATTTAGGCTTAGAAGAAAAAATACGCATCTAAATAGTGTCACACCTGTTCTTCATACTGCTTTATATTTAGGGTGTAGCTATTATTGTATGTTGTCATATAAGATCATATGGTGAAAAGTTAGGAATGATGGAGTGTTGAAAGAAGGAAGGTTGAAGTTATATAGAAAGGCTATCCTCAAGTATAAATACCTTGTTTGATTTTTGAACTAGCAAACTTTATTTATTTATTTTTTTGATATCAGGGATTAAACTCAGGACCTTGCCCTTGCGAGGCAGGTGGCAGCACCACTGAACTAAATCCCGGGCTCTGAACTAGCTAACATTTGAATCTACAAAGTGAGTCAAGTTAAACTTTTAAAATGAAAATACTAAAGCATTTACCCCTACCCAGTACAGGAGACGAACTCAGGGCCTTTGCATGGAGCTGCATTCCCCAGTTCATTTGAGACTAGTCTCTAAGTTGTCCAGGCTAGGCTTGAATTTGAAATCCTCCTGTCTCAGCCTTTCGGAGTGCTGAGTTTACAGGCGTGTGCCAGCCACCATGCCTGGCTAAAATACTTAGATGTTTTGACATGTTTTGTTAATCTGATACTTTTAGAATTGTGCATTGTTATACTATTGAGCTTTAAACAAAATTTTCAGTAATCATAAGTCAAAATTGCCTGTGGCTGTGTACATTCTGCCTTAAAATGCTGTACTTGGGCTTTATATAGTTGTTGGCATATAGCTTTCAAGTATACTGCTGGAAACATCATTTTCTGTGTTAGTAGAGAAGTTAGTAAAGCATTCATTTAAAAAAAGTTGCACTGGGGTTATGGCTCTCTAATACATCATCAGTTTCTGATAGGGGTTTTTTTGGGGGTGGGGGGTTACTAGGGATTGAACTTGGGTCCTTGTGAGGCAGGTGGTGGAACCACTGATCTAAATCTGGCTCAGTGATAGGCTTTTTGAAATTTGTTCTATTGTACATAAATTTTTAATTCTTTTGTTTAACATTGCATTTGTCTCTCACAAGATTGATTAATGTTAGTAGCTGCGAAAATTTATTTAAATTAAAACTTTTACATTATAAAAGTATTATCTGCCCTCTGTTGTTTTCCCCTCCGTTTCTCCTCCTCTTAGTAACAGAAAAGACAGTTAAGGAAGATTCCTTTTGCTTGTTAGCTTTCAGATGATCTACGGGCCTGGCAGTTCTGATATAGCAATCTAAGATTGTTTTGAAAAAGTATTGCTACAGTATATCTAGACTCTTAATTTTTTTCCAGGGGTTTTCATGATTTCATACAGATTTCTTTTGGAGTAAAATGTTTATCGATTTTTGTGTGCTATATATTTTTTAATTGTTTTATTGAATAACTTTCAGGTTTGTGTCTAGAAAATTGAATTTGCTTTAGGAGCCTTCAGTCGCTACAAGGTTGCTTGTGAGATGCATGTTTAAAAATGTATATGTTGAATGTATATGTAGTGTAAAAATGTATGTGTTTGGTTTAGAAAAGCATCAGGTTTCACCTGTAAATTTAAGCTTACATTTAAGAAAGATCATGTAGGAATAAGACACATTTGTGTCATTATTATATATATTTAAGAAAGATCACTTAGGAATAAGACACTTTTGTATCATAATTACATAGTCATGGGTGTACAAGTGAATTATTCAGTAAGGAACGCGAAGAGCTTTAGGTATACCTAATTTTGATGTACAATTTTAATATGGAATATTTCCCTAGTTTTGGAAAAGATACTAAAATGGAACTTTGTAGTATGCTTCTATTCTCTGTGTAGAATTTGGGATAAAAGTAAAGTATGTCTTAGAAATTTGAAGCATAACCATTAGATCATGTCTTAAGCTTCATTATTTCTGTGATGCTTCTTTTCCTTGGGACTCAGCTAAGACATTGTTAAGGGACAAGGAAGGGTTGCTAAACATCAGAGTCAGACATACTTATGGAACTTTAAAACAAATAGCCATTGCCTTATCCTCCTGAGATGTGGTTTGATTTGCTCTAGTGCTTTAAAAAAATTGGACTATTCATGGGTTTTGGCAGTTCCTGTTATATACAAATTATAGCTCATTTAATGAGCACCATAACTTATGAGGTTGGTGTTACTCCTATTTGAAGATGAGACAAATTAATAGATTAAATAACTTTTCCAAGCTATAAATTATTGCATGTGAAATTTGAAACCAGGTTTGTGTGATTCCAAAGACTATATTTGTAACCACTTGGTTATACTGTCTGTTTTAGCTTTGTTTTGTTGTTTTTCTTTTTACTTCAGCACTGGGGATTGATCTCAGGGCCTTGTGCACGCTAGGCAAGTACTCTATCACTGATTGCCCCCACACCTCAGCCCCTTAGCATTTTTTAGAGAAATGTAATTTGACTTAGAATTCTGTGTCAAGCCTGGCATTTAGCTCAGTGATTCTGCCACCTGCCTCAAAAGGCAAAGTCCCGACTTCTATCTCTGGTACCAAAAAAAGAAAAAATTAAATTCTGTGTCAAACATGCTGCCTGTACCACCTGATTATGACAAGTTTTATTGAACCCCAAGATGTACCAGGCCTAGTTTATGTGTATTACAAGTATGTCATGTGCCTATAATCCTAGCCTGTGGGAGGCTGAGCCAGGAAGATAGTTGTGAGTTTGATACCAGCCTGCCTCAAAAAAAACAAAACCAAATATGTCCGTATGTCTTCCTTAGTTAATATGTAATACATGCGTGTTACATACAACATTTTTATTTGTTAATAGCAGACATGCTATAGCTAATACACATTTAAAAATAGGACAGCAAATACATAGAAAATTGTAGTCAAAGCTGTTATAAAACTACTGGTTATCTAGCAAGTATAGGTCTTGTTTTTGGTAGTGGGGATTGAACTTGGGACCTTGGGCTTGCAAGGCATGTGCTGGAACCACTGAGCTAAATCCCTGGCCCAAGTACAGGTTTTAATTTCTGTTTACATACTCTGACAAACACATTGGTCATAATATGACAAATGTTACTGTCTATAAAGATTTTCAGGTTAATAGGAGATATTTTGATTGTATTCTTCATTTCTAAAGGAAAACCTATAACTATTTTCCTTGTACTCTTTATTATCAGGGTTTCATAGGCTAGTCTAGAGTAAGGATTTGCAAATCCTGAGTGCCTTTTCCATGACAAGATTTTTATGAATCTACTATGACATTACAAAAAACAAAACAAAACAAGTTTTTTTTCCCCCCATGAAGGCATTCCTTTTAGTTAGATTTCAAGCCTACATTTTTGCTGTTACTCAGTTTCCTGTTGAGTTGATGGTAATAATAAACTTTTAAATAGAATTAGAATCTGCAAATGTAGTTTTCTTTTTCTTTTCTTTTCTTTGGGGGGTAGCTTGAGATTGAACTGAGGGCTTTGGGCACAGTAGGTACTAGTGTGTATCTCCAGCCCTTTAAAATTAAAAAAAAATTTTAGGACAGGGTTTCACTATGTTGCTCAGGTTGGGCTTCAGTTTCCTGTCATCCTGCCTCAGCCACCTCAGCTGGGATTACAGGTGTGTGCCCACTCCTGTCTGGGGTTTAGAATCTTAATTCTCTTCCACTTACTCTCAAACTTCACTTGATAGTCTGCACTTTCGTTCTACTCTTCCCCTTAACCTTTAAATGCTTGGCATTCCATTTTTGGAACACCCATAGCAATGGAACATAATAAGATTTTTTTCTCTTCAGATATTTGTTCCTTGAACTAGGAGGTGTCATGTATGAATTTTGTGTAAAAATTTTAAAAAATTACAACCTTCCGGATAAAATGGGATCTTCGTTTCTGTGCATTTGTGGAAACTTTTTCTCTTCATGAAAAACCTTTAAATTGCTAGATCCTGTGGCTATATGTATTTAACCTATGCTTTGTACTGTTGACTATTTCTTCCTCGGAATCCCTTTGGCTTCCTCTTTAGTCTCCATTTCCCTTATGATCTGCTTATCACTTTTAAAAATATGGTTCTTTTTCTTTGTTCCCAGTTATTAACTAGGGTTCTATTTTTCTTACATTTTTAGTGTATATTTCATTTGAAATCCGAGTTTTAACAGCCATTTACCATCTTAATATTACCTAACATTTATTGCTTACTGTTTGCTGTTACTCCAGTGCTTCAGTACTTGCCAATTTAATTTTCAAAACAAGCAAGTTTGGCACAGTTTACCCCCCACCCCCCAACATTGAGGCTCAAGGGTTAAGTAATCTGCCCAAGATCATGCAGTTAGAAGGCAGCAGAATCACTAGGATTTAAAGATAAACAGCCTGCCTCTAGAGGCTGTGTTCTTAGCCAGTACATTTTTTGGCTTCCAGATGTCTCAAACACATTTCTAACTTCCTGTTTAACT